GTAATTAAGTAAGTAAAGTTTTATTTATAAAGCACCTCTCACAGAAATATATTCACAAGGTGCTGTACAATCATTAACAGTATAAAAATGGTGGAAAGAATAAAATGAAACAGAAAAACATAATTAAACATAAGCAACGAAAATTGAAACATCAAATCAGGAATTAATTTCTAAAATTGTAAATCAAACACAAGGTCAGTGCAGTTCAAAATATACAATAATACACAAAAACATAATGAATGCGGGAGAGAAAATATGGCGTAGGTTCAATAGTAAAGAAAACAAAGATTAGCGAAGCATTCATAATGGAGGTAAACTGGTAGTAATGGTGAAATGGTCAGCTAAATTCTTGAGAGAAAAAGTGAGTTTTTAGGAGTGACTTGAAAGACAATATTTTTTTATTATTATTCACTGTTCTTTAACCAGGCAAGTCCTGTTGAGATCTTAGATCTTTTTTTCAAGGGAGGCCTGGGCCTGAAGGCAGCCTATTGTGCATATTTTGTGGGGTGGGGGAAACCACAGTACCCGGAGAAAACCCACATAAGCACGAGGAGAACATGCAAACTCCACACAGAAAGACCCCAGGTCCGAACCGGGGATCGAACCCAGGACCTTCTTGCTGTGGGGTGTCAGTGCTAACGACTGAGCCGTCGTGCTATGTTTTCAATGGAGCGCAGATTAAAAGGGAGTTCATTCCAGAGCCTGGGGGCCACAGAGGAGAAGGACCAGGCATCACAGATCTTAAAGTGAGTGAGGTGTCAGGGTGAATGCCATCCACTCCCCGCACCCAAAACCTTCCAACTATGCCTCCTCAAAGATGGACGTGGTGATCAATTTAAGAAGATCCTTAAAGTGTTCTTTCTACAGCTCAATAATATCTCTAACCTGGGTCAGCCGTTCCCCATTCAAGTCAAACAGAACTTACTTTGCTTTTCTGACTTGTTCAACAATCTGACAAAATCTCCTTCAAGTCAACTGAAAGTCCCTTCATGGCTTCTCTGAATTCTTCCCAGGCTCAACATTTTGTTTCTGCAGCCACAGAAGCGGCAGTCCTTCTCTTTTAGGGGATTCTCGTTTGTTTAAATTGTCTTATTTACATATTGGACATTAGGATTAAATCCAACCTATTATTTATTAATACAATGGTTTTATGTGTGTAGAGATGTTTGTGTTTCCTTCCTGGATCTGTTGCTTCTGTGACCTAAAGGAGCTACAGGAGATGAAACGTCCCACATTATGAAACATTACTGCTGTAGGGAAGGTTTTTTTACCAAATCTCAGCTTAACAGGCTGAGTGCCTCCTGCCTGATAACAGGATGCAGAAGATCAGAAACAAATCTAAAATTATAAGTAACTCACCACGCTGGAGTTAAGTGATGGGTCCGACTTCCCGAGGTGCAGGGAGCGCATACGGACCAGGTTTGAGGTCTCAGATGGAGGCTGCAGTGCCGTCTGTGTCACCTGGATATTGGGGGGCAGCAGCAGGTATTTTCCTGTAAAACAGTGAGTAACTATTTATTGTATTGGAAATAGAGTTGGGCATAATCGTTTCATTTGCAATTAATCGTAAGAAAAATAATCAATTATTTTTTGGCACTTGACGATTAATACGATTAATGCAACCAGACAGAGTCTGCTTGGTGCTCCTCTCTGCTTCAAATATAACAAACGTTAAAAAAAAAAGATCTGTAATTTATCTATCCATCTATCTATCAACACAATTTAAAAATTGATGTGTAGCCTGAAGTCTGTAATTTTGATACAATTTGGAACAGCTTTTTACGAAGAGCAAATCTTTCCCACTAAATTAGTCATGTGACCAGGACATAAGACTGTCCAGGGACTCCAGGGGATTAATCGTCAAATTAATTGTTATTGGCTAAATACCACAATTAATAATGAGTAATTTTTTTGCCAATATTACCCAACCCTTATTGGAAATAAATAACTTTTAAGGCAACAATAAAATGAACAAATCAAAGAAATAGTATGGATACATTTATTTTAAATAGCAACAACCAAAGCAAACAAAACAGAGTGATATTCCACCTTAGACATTTATAAGAATAAATTCAAAGTTTAAACCATCACAAAAGGGAAAATCTCAGGTTTCTGCTCTCAGGCATTTTATTGTGGATCTTCTAATTCTGTGGAGCCACACAGGAAGTCAGAGAGTTAAATTTATCCAAGGAAGGGGAAAAGCTTATTAAGGGATCACTGAAAACCTTCAAATTGCATAACCACAGAGCTAGCACTCTGCAGTTATTAGGTAAATGCACGTGCCTGCAAGTTTCAAGACCAGTAGCTTTATGAAAGTTTGTTTCATAAAAAGTTTGTACATCAGTACGTTTTTGACTAACGTGAGCTTTTACCTCTCACCACCAGATGGAGCTAAAGATTTCACTTATAAACAGCACATTAATTTACTAAACTGATGACAAAGCAGTACCCTGCACGTTTAAATGTGACATTTAAAAGTAACTACCTGAACACTTTAGTTTTATATTGTCATTCTGACTTCAAAAAGAATACAAAAGTTGCATAAGTGTTTTTTTTTTTTTATAAACAGGAAGATGGAAAGATGAGTCTGTGCTCTAAACTTGAAAGGGCGTCTTCATCTCATTTGGGCCTGAGCAGGTATTTCTTGTTCAGGTTTTATGACAAACTGCAGAGAACATATTTTTAAGTTCACTGCCCAGCTGACAGCCAGTATTATAGTATATTATTATTGTACAGTAATGGTTCAGGCATTTGAGGTGTTGCTTTAGGAATGGATACGAGTGATTAGTATCATGTTGTGATTAGGGTTAGGGTAGAAAATCAATCACAATGACAAAATGTCAACTCAGCGGTTATTTCTGATTTAAGTTTGGGATCATTATTATTGGCATTAGTTGGACTTAAATCACGTCACTGGATGAAAGCACACAGCTCAACAAAGATTTCCTATTTTAAACCAAGAGTTTGTCAGATAGATCAGGATTGCTTCTAGGTAAACACTGAGTTTAAATGTCATTTTAAAATTATGCATCAAGCTAGAAATTGTTTGACAAACAAAGAAATAAACTTTTTTTTTTTACTTTAAGTAAAGTTTCAGGGGCAATAAAGGTAAGACCTCTGTGACAGTGTTGCCAGATCTCGCGACAGAAACAAGCAACCAGCTCTATGAAAACAAGCACAAAATAAGTCCAACTGTTAACCCCCAACATTCTGTAAAATAGAGGTAAATTATAACAGTTATGTACAAACGTATACATTTATTATTGCATAAGCAACAGCAAAATTATCATAAAATCATCATAAAAACCAACAACTTTAAAGGTTTGAAAAATTTAAATTTTAATAACATATACTTTTAAACTGTGATCATGAGAAAAGTGCATTTTGCAGTAAAATGACAACGGTCAACAAAAACTCCCAAAAATCTTTGTGCGCTCTTTTTTCCTCACTCTTATATTTTTCCTAACTTACTGCAACTCATTCTCACTCTGTTTTGTCACTTATATCCAGAGGTGAAGAAGTGGTTTTTGCTGATATAAAAAAATTGTCTCTGGCTCACATTGTTCTCTCTCGCTCAATTCATGCAATTTAATCATCAAATTCCAAACAAATTAAAACTTATCAATATTTTACTGTACTGTAGTTGTATCCCAATGTAAGCAGCATCTTTTATTTATTTTTTGTCTGTGCACCACTTGTGTAAAATGTCCCAGTCCATTAAATCCAGTGTACCAATCCCGACAGTGTTTTAGAAGTAGACGCGCATGTGCGTTGTATCAAGTCTCCTGTCATAAGTTCTGAACAGGACCGGACCGCACTGCCTTACCCCTGCATGTTTCCGCGTCACTCTTGGGCTCTGGTGTGTGTGTTTGAAGTGTATCGACTCAACTCGGGCGGAGCGACGACCAGGAAACGAGGGAATGGGAGGGACAAACCCACTACTCCTAATGTTCTGCTTCAACAGGAGCAGAGTTTAGCATGTCATTCAGAAAGATAAGCCCAAAATAAGCAACTCGCACAAAAATAAGCCCAAAAAACCGCAACCCACGAGTCATGGAATTTACAAGCGACTTTAGAAAAAAAGAAGCCCAAAGTCGCTCATAATAAGCAAACCTGGCAACACTGCTCTGTGACCTCACAGATTTCAATGAGAGTAAAAGTAGTTCCCTTTCAGTCAATACACTCGATACAACACATCATGTATGGGAAACCACGCCCCTGCGTGTCCTGGCTGAAGCCACCTCTAAACACGCCTTTAGGCAGGTGACGTGATGACGACAGATGTCAGGCTCCGCCTACACATATATATACTGTCGCCATCACAGTCACTCCTTAGTTCTATTGCTCTTCACCTCGCTGGAACCCCCATCTCTTCCAACCTAGCTAGTTAGCTGCTGCTAGTTAGCTTTGTTTGTTGGAAGGCTCTTAAAGTTACCTTAACTGCTTTTGTTGGTGTCGGCCGCCGCTGCCTACAGGTAAGTGTGTCCGCCAGTGGAGCGCTAGCTTTGAGTAGCTTTTCATTTCAACAAAATAGAATATTTTGTGGTTTGGGATGAGCACAAAATTACCTCAAGGAGCAGAAGTCGTCGGTCGCCCCTGTGGGCGCGGCTTCTTGCTCCATGAAAGGGACCAGCATGAGTCTTGCCCGGTCTGTTTGGGGGTCGTTCACATTCAGAGAGCGTTGGCGGCGCCCGAAGCGTGTGTGTTTTGCCGCCAGCTTCGTTGCTCAACCCTGGAGGGACGGGTTAAGTCCTTAGAAAAAGTGCTGGGCGAAACCGTGGTCTCACGAAAAGACCCACTCCTCTCCGAGTCCAGTAACTCGGTTCCGTCCAAGTCTGACGAGGAATATTTGTCGGTCAAAGTCCCCGCTTCCAGCTGGGCGGACCGAGTAGAGCACAGGAGGGGTTAGCCGTTTATATTGGCTTGGATGTTCATCTGTCGAAAGACGACGAGGAACCCGGCCTGGTCTAGATGCCCCGCTGCTGTGGAGGCAGACCAGGAGGACACGTCTTTTCTCTCCTTGTGTCGTCGTGTGGCTCAGAACAAAAACCGTCGCGGTTCGCGGGATTTTTCTTCCCACTGAACCAACTGTGGTGAAAAACCGTCTTCCCATGTTCCCAGATTTAATCTCAGAGCTGACGTCCTGCTGGAGCAAACCTCTGTCCACCCGCGTCACAGTACCCGGTTATGGGCAATATTTCTGTGTAGATTTTCTGCTGCGCAGCTTGAAAAATTTTACAAGGCTCAGGCCACCACTGCTCGCGGTCTGAGCTCCATTAGCATGCTCCAGACATCCCAAGCTATGTCTCTGGCGGAGCTCGGAGCTCTAGTACCGACAGAGAGTCCTCTGTTACCTCTCTTTAACGAGGTCAGACTCACAGCGGATCACATTCTCCGTACGTCCCGCTGTGCAGCGCTCTCCCTGGGCAGAGGGATGGCTTCAACCGTGGTGGCGCAGAGGCATCTGTGGTTGACGCTCTCTGATGTCCAAGACAGAGACCGAGCTGCATACCTGGATGAACCAGTTATGACTGCTGGGTTATTTGGTTGGTCTCTCAACGTCATTCAGGCAAAGTTTGAGCTGAGGGGAAAGCAGGCTGAAGCCCTGCGCTGTATTGTCCCCAGATGTGACGCGAGACCGAAGACTAGCACACAGAAGCCGGCTGCTCAGCCGCCTCCTGTTAAGAGAGCAGTGCCGCCTGGGAGCCTGAGCACCCAGTCAGTGCAGCCTCAGAACCGCGACCAACCTCCCCGCCATTCAGCTTGGAGCAAGGGCCCCCCTCTGGGTCTTCTGAAGGGCTCGACGCCTCGGAGGAAGAAGACAGTCCTCCTAGCTGTGGGACTGTCACTTCAGGGCCAAGGAGACATGATCGCCTGCTATCGGCTGCTGCCCAAAAGGAATCTTGTTTGTTTTGTTCAGGGAACCAGCCCCAAGAGGCGCTGCGTTTCCCTCACATAGTCTCCCAAGCACCAGTCCCACCCCATTCACAGTGTTTGCACTAAAAGCCCCCAGTTTGGGTGCATTAAATGTTCAAAGCACAACTGTTTCTAACATTTGTGTAAATGTGTTAAGTATAAAATTTACACACAAATAAATCAAAAAGCTATGGGCGACAGTCAGATAATGCTGCGCCTCTCTCATACTACAGAGGGCAGCACCACATCGCCAACACAAGTTGGTCGCCTAGCGATGCGACTCTCTCTGGCGTGCATGCGCACCATCCCCTTGGGTGGAAAGAACTGTTGCCATGGGTTACCGGCTACAGTTTTGCATAAGGCCGCCTCCTTTCAACACCGTGGTAAACACTATTGTTAGGATCAAAGCAGCCATGGTTTTGAGAGAGGAAATAAACATGTTACTGGCATACAAGTTATACTGACATACAAGTTCAAAATGTTAACACTCGGGCAATTTCTACATTCTGTCAACCCGGGCGATTGGTTTGCAACCATCGATTTAACAGACGCTTACTTTCATGTAGTGATTCACCCA